TATGACACTCTTTCACTTTTTAGATACAAACTCTATAACACTCACACTCATTGCAAAGACTACTTACTTACATGACCCCTCTTACTTCTTATTCTTGGTTATTTGCTGGCTTCTCTGGCGAGAGATGAACAGGAGGTAGCAACGAGTGTGGAAGAAGTTGCCTCTCCACTGAAATTGAAGAACGCGAGGCAAACCAGGAAGGCGAGAGTTGCTGAGGAGGTAGCAACGAGTGTGGAAAAATCTGCTTCTCCACTTAAATTAAAGAATCTGAGGCAAACCAATAAGGTGAGAGATGAAGATGAGGTAGCAACGAGTGTGGAAAAAGCTACTTCTTTGCCGAGGAAGCCAGTGACTCAGGAGGTAGTTGCGGCTGATGAATGGGGGTGGTGGACGAAATTGTGGCTGAAAACACATATTTATAGCCTAGGGTTTTGACAAATTATGATGGGAAAAGGCTTAGGATTTTCAGCAAAGGCTTGGGCCTCAATCCAAGAGGGAAAAGAACTAGGGTTTGTGCAGATTTTAGGGTTTCTAGAAGGGTTTGGGGCGCCACTTTTGTAGGGAATTCTAGAAACAATGTTATGTGGCTGATTTCTAGAAGAACAAGGCCTAAAAACATGCAGCACCAATATAGGAACAGATAAGGCCTTCTAGAAAGGTTTCTAGGTGATTTAAATCAGAAATTAACTCCCCCTTGCAATAGGAATTAAGTTAGGAAAAGATTAGGATAGGACAGAGGTATCGATGTTTATTAGCAAACCGATGGAAGATGAGGAGGCTCGTAAGCAATACCCCAAGAGATATGTGGGAGAGGTGAGAGATTTTGTTTCAATATTTTTTTTTAAATTTAGTTTGTATTTTGGGAAAATGTTGGAGATTTCGGGGTTATAAATGATCAAGTATTGTGAACTTCAAGGATAGTAGTAATGCAAGTTTGCTTGATTGGTTGGTTGGGTTAGCTCATATTGCTACGAAGGCTACCTTTGAGTTAATTTTGATGCTGCTGTGGAGTATTTGGCGTGCTAGAAATGACCTGCTATGGATTGGAAATCAAACGTCGCCAAGTGGTCTCTTTGCGAGCTGTGGAATGGCTGGAAGCTTTTCAGAAATGGCATCTACCTCCCAAGATTTCAAAAACTGTGCAGAATTAACGATGGCACAAACCTGAGGGGGGATGGATCAAGTGCAATTTCGATGGGGCGTGGAACGAAAGGACACAGGTGTTGGGGTAGTCGTACGTAACTGCAATGGTGGTTTTATTGGAGCATGTTCAGCGAGGTTTGAATCAGTGACTTCAACCCCTGCATGCTGAAATGATTGCAGCTCGTAGGGCTATTTGTTTTGTAATTCAAGTTTGCTCCCGCGATGTTCAAGTGGCGTTTGAAGGAGACTCATTAATCACGTTGGCTGCTATGAGGAAAACAGGGGATGACACTTTGATATTTGGCCCTATTATCAATGACATCTGCTTGTTTTTGCTGGAACGTGCCCATGTTAAGCTTAATCATGTTCGAAAGGAGGCCAATTCCGCTGCCCATCGACTTGTTCGATCTGGGATTGGCTGGATTGATGAATTTCAATGGAGGGGACTGCTTCTGAGCTATTGCTGGATACTCTTATAGAAGACAACTCTTTATAATTTTGCTTGTTTTCTCTCTTGGTGTGAGGATAGGTAAAGTTAGTTGATGGTGCCGGACACTCTTTTTCCTTTCAACCGAGTTGAAAGCCTCAACAAGGTTTTTATCAAGGTCCATTTAAGCACACTATCATCCGCCTTGTATGTTTTTATCTTATATTAATAAATATCGTACTTCTCTAAAAAAAAAAAAAAAGTGGTACATGATAAGACAAATAAATGGGCTTTAGAATATTTGTGTGTCCAAGCGTTAATGTGGCTATAACATTTGTGGTAGGATTAATACTTTACCCATTTTCTAATTTCATATGATTTTTACCCCTCGGTGTTGTCTAAGCTTTGGTTTCAATAATTTTTGCCTTATAGTATTGTACAAGAGACCTTACGCAAACCTAAGTTGGCTAAGTCAATGATATTAACTTGAAGTCTTTTGGCCACTTAGTACTACAGTTTGATGGTATTCATCTTCACTTGTAAGTGAAATGTTTTAAGTTCGAATCTCGTGAATGGGAAATTCAATATCAAATTAAATTGTCCATTGTGTGACTTAACCGAACTTCCAACTTGAAGTCTTCTATACAATATTATAATTGAACACATACAGTTTTAGCTAGAATGAATGTGGGATAAAAATTGTGTGATGATATGATTTGATGTGATGACAGAGTTTGATTATTGAGTGAGTTATTAATAAATTTTAATTTTATTGTTTGTTAATTATGTCATAGGTTAAAAAAGACAATTCACATATAAAGTTTAAGATGGGTGAAGATAGAGATTACATAGGTTTAAATAAAATTTCTCTTACACAAAGTCTAATATATTTAACTCTTTTGAGAACCGACTTTGCGCTCTCATTGATGAAATCACCCGGAAGTTATACCTCAGGTTGTATATAAACAAACCAACATTAACCATTAACTAATCTTGTTATCAACTGTCTCTAAGACTCTAACCAATCTTTGTGCAGAATGAATTGTGTTGATAATATTGCTTGGGATCGAAACTTAAAAGCCTTTTCTCCTTGCAGTTATTGCAAAGACAATCCAACTACTCAGACTTCTCATAAATAGTATAGTCGATCGTGATTGCGAACCAGACCTAGAAGCCGTAATTCAACAAGTTCCAGATGGGAGGACTAACTATAAGTCCCACAACAACAACTTAGATTTAGCAAGTATAATCCTCGTGTTTTGCTTGACAGCGGCTATCGGACTAGCGCTTCTCCCCTTCCAAATTCCCTATGGCCAGCTCCCTCTCCCTGTAATCTTCGACTTTCTTAGACAATCAGTCTTACTTGCCTTCATTTGTATCTTGGTAAGCAGATGTACTCATTTCAGCTATTGTCCCACCAAAATAACAGTTGCCCCAATTTTCCATCATTTTGGCCTCTTCTTTGGAGTCACAGTCTTTTTCATATCCATCACCATCCCATTTCCTTCCTGGTTCAAATGTGCTGCCTATTCTATCTACGGCGCCGTCTTCCTCCTTGTACTTCTTTGCAATCGTCACTTCAATAAATATTGCAAGCCTCATGGTTTTAAGTATCCTATCCCAAACAATTCAATTTCGAAAACCGCCGTTGATGCTGCGGTGAATCATGCCGACACAGTACTAGCACCATTGATGATAAAAAAATGCACTAATAGTATTGAGTGACGTGAAAAGCTCTTATGTAACGAGAATGTATGTATGTATGTGTGTGTGTAAATGCACTAATAGTATTGAGTGACGTGAAAAGTTCTTATGTAACGAGAATGTATGTATGTATGTGTGTGTGTGTGTGTAAATGCACTAATAGTATTGAGTGACGTGAAAAGCTCTTATGTAACGAGAATGTATATATGTATGTGTGTGTGTGTGTGTGTGTTCAAATGTCAACTGTTGTTTATTCTGTTTGGGGTTTACTTATCTGTAGCCTCTTACTAATGCTATGTTTCATCAAATCAAGTTAATTAATTTGTTACTTCTATATATTCCTTTTAGTGAAAGTACTTGTGTCCACCATTCATTGTCTATAATATCGTGATGCATTTTAACCATCCAAATTGTCAAAACTAAAACGGTTAAGGGCTCGTTGGGGAATACTTTTAAATTAACTGGAAGCGTTTTTGATGAAAATGTTTTTGAAACTATTTCTTAGTAAAAATCTAAGTGGATTAAAAAAAAGCATTTTAATTGCTTCCTATAAGAAACCCATATTTGTTGCTTCCAGCAAGAAGCACATATTCGGTGCTTCTTCCAAACAACACTTTAAATACTTTTTGAAACCCAAAATTTGTTTTACCAAAAATACTTTTTAGTCTTTTTAAATTTTTTTTTCAAACGAGCCTTAATTTTTTTAATAATTAATAAAATACATTAATACAAAAAGTTAAGGGAAGTCTAAATTAGGCGATTTCGATACCAAATTAGGTTGCATATTGTATGGCTTAGCCGAACTTCCCCTCCCCTTAATGTAAAAACATCGATGTATTAAAAAAAAAAAGTCAAGGGAAGTCCATAATTGTAAATTTGGGCCGGTTCTTTGTGTTGTGTGTTGAGACTTGAGAGTGAAGCCCAACTTAGGCATTGGGTTATTTATACATATTTATTTACATTTTGGTTTTTGTGTAACTGAATATGATATAAGTGACTTTATATATCTGTATATTCTATAAAACATAAATTTTGCAAGTCCAAATAAAATAGGTATAGAAACAAAAATTAAAAAGCAAAAAATAACACAAAAATAGAGCAAAAATAACATAGAAATCCTCATTTTCTAAAAGTAAAACCCGTTTTCATGAACCAAAACATTAAAGAACCCACATACGTCTTAGTAGTAGGCAACGACAATTAGTACACTTACACGAAGTTGATTTCTCTTTTTGAGTTATTGGACTTTCTTAATTCTTTTTTATCTATGTTATACACAATGAGATCATTTATGAAAATATAATAAAAATGTCGATCATTATACATGTGAGCTCTTATCAACGATTAATAGTACTTAACATTACACCATATAATTTTTACGAAATTAATACATTGTCTCTCTCTTATTACAACTTTCTATTAACTCTCATCATGCATTCATCATTTGTTTACTTACACAACTATAACACACATTTATGGTAAATTTGGTAATTAATATTATACAAATCGGAAAAAGTAAAAAATGTAAACAAAAATAGAGCCAAACACACGGAAAAGTTAACCCCCGCAACCAAACACCCCTCAAAGTTCTTACGCTCCAAAACCAAACGTCACCTCAAAATTCAAACCCCACTTTCCAAATTTCCCGTTTTCCCGCCCATACGCCGCGCACTTCCCACTCCATAATTTCACGGCCCACTATAAAACATAACCCCAATCCAATCACTCACGCCCTAAAAAAACCCTATCGCCCATTTCTCTCTCTCTCTCTCTTCCCCCCTCTCTTTTTCTCTCTAAGATCCACCGTCTTCTCCGGCTATTCAGCCTCTCTCCGCCGTAAGCAGAATGGCGTGCAAACGGAAGTCGAAGGCCGGAACTTCTTCAGGTTCTCCGCAGAAATCGAAGAACCCAAGGCAAGCCAAGAAGGCCAGAGTTGAGGAGGAGGTAGCCACGAGTGTGGAAAAAGCTACTTCTCCGCCGAAATCGAAGAAGACTAGGCAAACCAAGAAGGAGAGAGTTGAAGAGGAGGTAGCAACGAGTGTGAAAAAATGTACTTCTCCGCTGAAATCGGACAGCCAGAGGCTAACCAGGAGTGCTAGAGTTGAAGAGGAGGTAGCAACGAGTGTGGAAAAAGCTGCTTCTCCGACGAAATCGAAGAACACGAGGCAAACCAGGAAGGCGAGAGTTGAAGAGGAGGTAGCTACGAGTGTTGAAAAAGCTGCTTCTCCGCTGAAATCGAAGAAGACGAGGCAAACCAAGGAGGGAGGAGTTGAAGAGGAGGTAGCGGCGAGTGTGGAAAAATCTGCTTGTTCTCCAAAATTGAAGAAGCCGAGGCAAACAAAAAATGCTAGAGTTGAAGAGGAGGTAGTGACGAGTGTGGAAAAAGCTGCTTCTCCGACGAAATTGAAGAATCCGAGGCAAACCAATAAGGCGACAGTTGAAGAGGAGGTAGCAACGAGTGTGGAAAAAGCTGCTTCTCCGCCGAGGAAGCCAGTGACTCAGGAGGTAGCTGCGCCTGATGAAGATGGAGAGGAATCGAGGTTTATTGGGAAACCGATGGAAGATGAGGAGGCTCGTAAGCAATACCCCAAGCGATATGCGGGAGAGGTGATAGATTTTTTTTTTTTTTTTTTTAAGAATTTAATTTGTATTTTGTGAAAATGTTGGAGATTTAGGGGTTATAGATGATCACTGTGAACTTCATGGATAAGTGGTATATGATAAGACAAATAATGGGTTTTAGAATATATGTGTGTCCAAGCGTTAATGTAGCTTTAGCATTTGTGGTAGGATTAATTCTTTACCCATTTCCTAAATCCGTATGATTTTTACCTCGCGGTGTTGTCTAACATGGTATCAAAGATTTGGTTTCAAGAATTTTTGGGTTTTAGGCTTTCAACCTTGATTTTACAGTTCTTTGTCTAACATGAATCTTGTTGTGGTGGCAGGGTGGGGTGTGAAACCCTCCCTCCCTCCTGTCCCAATAAAATGTGTATGAAGCGGGATAAGTTCTTTCCGTTGTAATATTGTCAAGTACAATTATGCATTGCTAGTAATCAATTGTGAGTGTTCTATGTTATTCATTGGGTCATGAAAAGAAAGGAAGAAATGTTATGAAGGGACAATTACAAAGAGTATCCCCATTTGGTTATAGGAAAACTTGAGAAGCAAACTGATACATTAGGTTAGTTATTATGACCAAAAGAAGTGAAGGTGATTCATCTGCCACTGTATTTGCTTCATGAAATACATGCTGAAGATATTGAACTTGAGTGTCAACCAATGGTATTAGCTTGATATATGTTTGTGGAATGCTCTTTGATTTTTTGCCCTTGTTTTGTTTTGACCTTGATCCTTGCATTGGTGCAGAAGCCACAGAGGAATGGGCAAAACAACTCCAACGAGTAAGTTTTAGTTCTACTTTATCTGTATATTTTTTCGTCAGCTTACTCCAAGTAGTCCTGTGTTTCAACAGGTTGGTTACTGTTTGTTTGTTTTCTGAATGGATTTTAATGATCAAAATAATTGAAAACAGTGATGAAGATATCATTCAAGCTCGTTGTCACTACACAAAGGCGTTGGTGGATGGAATCAGTTATGATCTCTATGATGATGCCCATGTGCAAGTGAGTTTTCATGATTAGTTGTTTAGCAGTAATAAATATAGAAACATGCACAAGTGAAAAGTAAGACTAGATAATTGGTCTACTCCATTATTTGATTGTATAATCATAATTGTTTCCCTTTTGCAACATTACAAAAATTAGCAAAATAGATATTTTGACGATTTAGTTTTGATCACGGTAATGTTTTATTGGATTTGTATCACAAGTTGACTGTTTTTTCCCTTCTTAGAAAACTAACTTTACCATTTAGCCGGATGGATGGAATACAAAAGTGATGTACATTTTTTATAACCTCTTTGTTTTGAGTGCTTTGACTTCTTAACTTTGACAGAAGACTAAATTGAAATAAACGGTGATGTTAGGGAGGCTATCTATTTAAACCTTATTCTGTAAACCATATTATGTTGTTGTTAATGATTGGATTATTACTTAAGTGTTGGTTGCTAATATCAAAATAACTTTTTGACCAATATTCTGCTTATCAATCCATCTGGTAATCTCCATGATTGTTGGAATCCCCAAATTATATGATTCCTGACATGCCAATTCATTGCAAATTTCACATAAATGGTTCTTTTCCACAAGATAAGGGTTAATTAATAAAATTTGATGTGCTATATTTCAAAGTAGAAACATACTCAACTGAAATTTTGGTTGTAGTGAGTGACTCATGTGCACAGAATGTTTTTATGTACTTTTGTTTTTATTTGCCTATTATGTGATTTAAGTTTTGACAATGTTTCCCATTCATTTTTATGTTTAGGGAGAGACGAAAGAAGAACCCTACATTTGTAAGATTGTGGAAATGTTTGAGGCAATTGGTGGGCTATTATATTTTACTGCACAATGGTACTATAGATCACGAGACACTGTAAGATATTTCAAAAGAAACCTTTTTATGATTTTCTTTCCAAATACTCTGTTTCATGGTTTTGTTACGTTAAAAAGTAAGAATCCTGCTATTGGGTGCTGAATTATTAAATTTTTGCTTTCTTGCAGGTCATAAAGCACTGTGCTACTGTTGCTTGTGGGCGTGTATTCTTTTCAGATGTCCGAGATGACAACCCTCTGGATTGTCTTGTTGAAAAACTTCATATTGTTAGGCTGACACTAAATGTATGCTTGAAGTTTCCATATTCGTGCTTTTTTGTTTGTTCATGAAGTCCAACATGAATGAGTTATCCTTTTTCTCTCAGGTTGATGAAGATGTGAAGAGTAAATCAATTCCAGTGTGCAATTACTATTGCGACACCAAGTATTTGCTACCATATTCTACTTTTGTCAATCTGCCAACAGGTTATTGTTCTCTTTCTACTTACCATCATGATGCTGGTTTTTTCTTTCTTTCATTTGGAAGTCTCCAATGTGTTAACATGTTATTTCTGGTTTTGAAATTTCAGAAAATATGCAGTCTGGAAGTGATGACTCAACTATCTCTGTTGAGGATGATGTTTGTTTGGATAGTGAGGTTGATTCAAAGCTGTCAAATGGAGTGTGTGCCAAATCAGAAGTAAGGCTCCTGGACCTATATTCTGGTTGTGGAGCAATGTCTACTGGCCTGTGCCTTGGTGCACATTTGGCCAATGTCAATCTTGTTACAGTAAGTTCCTATTTCTTAATTTATTTTTTGTTAATCTTTGACATCAATTGAATAGACGTGAAGGGAGAGTTTGATATTGTTATCCTGTTTGTCTTTTAGAGATGGGCTGTTGACTACAATGAACATGCTTGTAAGAGTCTAGAACAAAACCATCCAGAGACAGAGGTTTGTATTTGTATCTTACTGTTTTCCTCACCTTTGATGTGATGCTTTAGTTTATTTTTTATTTGCATAAGTTAGTGTCTAATTCACACATCAGGTCCGAAATGAAGCTGCTGAAGATTTCCTCACAATGCTCAAGGAATGGAGAAAATTGTGCATGTGCTTAAAGTTGGTTGAGACTGACAATTTAGAGGAGGATGTAGAGAAGAGTATGCTTGAATTCTTTAGAAAGGAAGATGATGAAGTGGAAGATGAGGGAGAAGAAGAGGAAGAAGATGTTAGTGGAAATGAGAATGATGATTCTGAAGTTTTTGAAGTTGATTGCGTAGTAGGAGTATGTTTTGGTGACCCAAAAAAAAATGAAAAGAAGGGAATATACTTTAAGGTATCAACTTCAAAATTTATAAATGCATGTTCTTTAAATATTTATAACGTTATAGTATGTGAGGGAATGGTTAATGCAAATCTAAATTCATTAGTTCCTCGTGCAAAATTTGATTGCCTTGTGATGTATATAGATTCATTGGAAGGGCTACGGGCCTGAGGAAGACACCTGGGAGCCAATGAATGAATTGGAGTATGCAACTATTCTTATTTATGCTTGCAGTATTATCAGTTGTATGTTTTAAATCATTTATGTACTGTGATGTTGTAAACTGAAGCTCATGTTTTTTTTTTGTCAAACAGGCATTGTAAGAAGGCTATCAAAGGCTTTATTACTGAAGGTTACAGATTGAAAAAATTGCCTTTACCGGTAAGTAAATGAAATTTTCACTGTAACCTTGAATTGGAATTCGTCGATGCTTGAGTATAGACTATTGTCATTTAATATTGTTTTGGACATTTTCTGGCATCTTGCTGTAGGGTGATGTTGATGTGGTGTGTGGGGGGCCCCCTTGCCAAGGAGTCAGTGGTTTCAACAGGTTTAGGAACACAGAAAGTCCATTAGCCGATGAGAAAAACCAACAGTTAGAGGTGTACATGGACATAGTTCGGTACCTTAAGCCAAAGTTTGTTTTGATGGAAAATGTTGTCGATATTTTAAAATTTGCCGATGGATTCCTTGGACGATATGCCTTGGGACGCCTTGTAGATATGAACTATCAAGCGAGGATGGGAATGATGGCAGCTGGTGCCTATGGGCTTCCACAGTTCCGTATGCGAGTTTTTTTGTGGGGGGCCCGTCCTACTGAGGTATGATGAATAAATTATAAAGTTTTACTATGTTGCAGGTTTAATCTCATAGGGTAATTGTTATGACTTTTGCAGATCTTGCCCCAGTACCCTCTTCCTACGCATGATGTTATTTCAAGGGGTGTTATCCCTACACAATTTGAGGTACGAGTTCAAGTGCTAGTGTTGATTTTTATTTTTATTTTTATAAAGATTTTGTACTAAAACAGTGTGAAAAATGCAGGGTAATGCTGTTGCTTATGATGAAGGTCAGAAGACTCAACTAGCAAAAAGTCTTTTTCTGGAGGATGCGATTTCTGATCTGCCTGCTGTAATGTCTTCTAAAATTTTTCCTCTTGAGTATTATGTTATTTTTTCCCTTTAATAGTCCTTCATTCTTATTTCTATCTATCTTCTGATATAGGTTGAAAATAATGAAGAAAGAAATGAGATGCCATATGGGGGGCCACCCAAGACAGAGTTTCAGAGGCTTATACGACTAAGCAAAGAATGTAAGATGCTCTATTGCTTTTGAAATTCGTGATATTTGATTCTTTGGAATTGCAAGTATGGTCGAATATATTGATTTTCATGCTGCTTTGTAAAAACTTATGTGTCTTATAACTGTCATATTTTACAGAAGTTGATTAACATTTTGTTTGATGCAGACCTAATGGGGACTTCAAAGGACAACTCTTTACAGAAGGTACTTTATGATCATCGCCCTTTGCAGTTGAATCCCGATGATTATGCACGTGTCTGTGAAGTTCCGAAGAGAAAGGTCCATTCTTAATCATTGAATGCATGGTCGCATTGCTTTATCATTTAAACAGTTCCTTGACAGAATCCTATGCTCTCAATAACAATTTGTGTACTTTTGTTTCTTGGGAACTAGGGTGCATGCTTCAGAGATTTCCCAGGTGTTCGTGTGCGCGGTGATAACAAGGTTGAGTGGGATCCGGAAGTACCCAGGGTGTATTTGGCTTCTGGGAAACCATTGGTAAAAATCTATCTGTTTTCTACTGATTCAGTTTTCCTGCAACTTTGTGTGATTCTAATTACATTGTAATGGTAGGTCCCAGATTATGCTATGAGTTTCGTGAAGGGGTCTTCATCAAAGTAAGAGTTAGTGTTCTATTCAAAATTTGAAACAAGAGTTAGTGTTGTCTTATTCAAAATTTGAAACTTATAGTGTGGTTCAGTTGCTTAATATGATTTTTGAATGAAATTATGCAGACCTTTTGCCCGCTTGTGGTGGGACGAAACTGTGCCAACAGTTGTGACAAGAGCTGAACCACATAACCAGGTATAATGTAATTCAATCATTTTCAGATGTAGAAAGACAATCATCTGCTCACACAATTTCCTGTCTTTCTTTTCAGGCAATTATGCATCCTGAGCAAGATAGGGTGCTGACAATTCGTGAGAATGCTAGGCTACAGGGCTTTCCAGATTTTTACAGGCTCAGCGGGCCTGTAAAAGAAAGGTATCGTATTTTTTAAACCGTTTGTTCTCTGTATTCTTTTGTCAATCAGGCTAAAGGAGTTGGAATCTGAGACATCACTCGATTAACCGCCAAGTAATTATTTTTGGAACCATTTCAGGTACATGCAAGTTGGAAATGCTGTCGCTGTTCCGGTTGCGCGTGCACTGGGCTATGCATTAGGTCTTGCTCTTAGACGTTCTGCTGGTGCTGATCCCGTGTTCATATTGCCTGAAAGTTTCCCAAACATTCAGGATCAGGTTCATTCGGCGTCATCTGAAGAAGCGGATTGATTCACTGTTGCGGTTACAATATGATTTATTCATTGCTGTTGTAACTCTATTGTTTTAGTACTGACATTGTGAGAACATGTTAATTCAGAAATGTATTAGTTCTTGATCTTATAGAGCTATTGCTCGGATGAACAATGTTCTTTGATTACTCCGAAATGATAATTTGAACCTTTCTGTTCATTTTGAGATTTTAAATCCTTCTAGATTTTGGTTTTGAGTAACATCTAGTCAGTATGAATTTTGTTCTCATTTTACTTTGGGCTTGTCTGGAAGCGCTTTTACGACTAACTTAAGCGCTTTTAGATTACTGAAAGTATCGCTTTACCAGAAACACTTGCATACAAGAAATTGAGATGTGCCAAAAGGTGAAATGTTGAACCATCTAATGTTCATCGTACAATCATCATTCTCATTCACAAAATATAAAAACATCCATCAACGTTACGTCTGAGTTCGAATCTCATATTCCGTAACTTGGAAGAGTAGTTTAGAATATCGCCTCAACCGAGATAACAAAGAGTTCAACACATCTTGGGATGAGGATTCGAAGGGAGGCTTTGTAGACTTGTGGTTGCTGCTGCTGGTGTCGTCTGAGCGTCTCATTGTTTCTTCTCTCTCTGGAATTTTGCTTCTCCCTTGAACACGACGGCGGCGCTTTTTTCCTCGTCGAATGGTGGAGTTGTGAACAAAAGTATGGGCCTTTTAGAGCCCATATATTTTACCCAAACGGCCTGACATATGAATTTGGATACCAAGTGGTCCAATATCAATAAAATTTTCTTTTCCTTTTTTTTTTTTTTACAGAATGACACTTATACGTTTGTTTGATCACTTAGCTAGTCCGACCAATCAATAAATGACTCAACATGATTAGTTATTTGTAAAGTGGACTTCACTGACAATCATATCGCGTTAACTATGTAGTTAGAGTATCAATAATGTCAATAATATGACCACATGTTAATAATCTGTAACGGATTGATGTATTTATTGTTAGAGGTATTCGTCGATTTACCCCTTGAACTTGTAAGAAATTGTCAATTTCCTCCATGAACTTTAATTTTAGCCAATTACTCCCTTAAACTTGTGTAATTCACCAATTTAACCCCTACCATTATATCTTTGAATTTTCCATCCAATTTGGTCACATGCTAATGGTGTGAGGACAAAAAGGTAATCATACACCACAACCAAACCTAATCATTGTTGGGTATATGGGGAAGCAGGGGAAGGCGAGCCACAAAGAATTGGGCATCCTAGGGTTACAATCTGAGAAATGGAGAATAGACAGCGAAATCAACAAATTGCTACAAAATATCGAAGGTATTTTGAGCTTTGAAGCTCAAAACGATGAGTATCGTGGTCAAAGATGGTGGGCATCCTCCAAGATATAGTAACTCTTCACTTTTTCCTTTTTAGTTTGTTTAATATGTGAAAGGGTTGCTTTGTGTGTTATTTTTCCAGTCGTGTGTGTATATGAGGTCCCTTGATTGGCATTTTTTTAAAATAATTTTTTTATGAATTATTCTCTTTTGATTCATGCTTCCATAGATTGTGCCCGAAATAAATAGGCTTGTTTGTATAACAGGCAAAGCCAATAATTAGTAAATTATTTTCTTTTGCTGGAAGCTTCCCTAAATTGTGGCCCAAAATATTTAGCAAGTTGTTTGCTGCTTGTTTGGATAACAGACCAAGCAAATTATTCTCTCTTGCTTCAAGCTTCAGAGAGAAGGGAGCTAACAAACAAGCAGCGTTGCAGGTCTTTGGTTAATCTCCTCATGGTTAGCTGATCAGTTTGATGAGAAGCTTAGATCGAAACCTGATATGAGTGTGACTGGTTTCATGGAACTTGTGAGAAAGTATTACGGTATTGACATAACAAAAAATCAAGTTTACAAAGTAAAGAGAATTACAAAAAAAGTGACAGAAGGTAGTATACATGAGCAATATGCCAAGTTTTGAAATTACCTGGAAGAGTTGAAAGTGAGAAATAGTGGGAGTACTATCAAAGTAAAAACAGATTTCCAAGGTGAAAACCCTGTTTTTAAAATGTTGTACATATGCTTTGATGCATTTGCATTGAAGAAAGGCTTTCAACAAGAGTATAGGTCTATAGTGGGTTTTGATGGGTCTCATATTAAGGGACCCCATCCTGGTCAAATTCTAAGTGATGTTGGTGTTGATGCCAATAACGGCATGTTTCCAATAGATTTGCTTTTGTGGAGGTGGAAATAGGAAGACTTGGACTTTGTTTTTTGGAGATCTTTTTCGAGGATGTGGGAATTGAGAATGGAAATGCTTGGACATTCATCACTGACAAACAAAAGGGACTAGGCGATGCTATACTGAGTCTGATGCCAACTGCAGAACACAGACATTGTGTTAGACATTTGCATAATAATTTTAGAAGTGCAGGTCACACCGGACTTGCCTTAAAATAGAGATTGTGGGCAGCAACAAGGGCAACTACTGTACCTGCTTATGAAGCTTAAATTGAGGTGATGAATAATCAATCTAATAAGGCAGTGAGATGGCTAGTTGATAAGCCACCTTGCCATTGAAGCAGATCTTATTTCAGAACATCAGTAAGGTGTGATTTATTATTGAATAATATGTGTGAGTCATTTAATTCTGCAATTTTAGATGCAAGAGATAAATCAATTATTACGATGTTACAAAGGATTAAAAAATATTTGATGTTGAGAATGGCTAAGCTAAGAGAAGCTAAGTGGGCCCAACAAGTTGGACCTAGAATTTTAAAGATTGTTGAAAAAAATCAACTGGATGGTTTCAATTGTTTTGCCAATTATTCAGGGAATGGTCAATATCAAGTGCATATTTTGGTTGGTAGTATGTTTGCAGTAGATTTGGAAAGACACACTTGCTCTTGTAGGAAGTGGCAACCATGTGGCATTCCTTGTCCCCATGCTATATCCGCAATTGCTAGGAAGGAGGCTAGTCCACAAGTGTTTGTTCACTTACTTTACAAAAGGCTAGTTTATGATAGGTGTTATGAAAGGTAAATTGCTCATATGCCTGTAAAAGAACAGTGGAAGAGAACTTGCCTTATGCCTATTAAACCCCCTTTTTACCATAAGCAACCTGGAAGACCTAAAGGCAAAAGAACAAAAACACCATATGAGATAAAGAAGGGGGCAACAAAGCTATGGAAATATGATGTTGTAATGCATTGCCAAACCTGTGGAGAGGAAGGACACAACAAAACAAGTTGTCCACAAAGGCTACTACAATCACAACAAGGTTTTGGCTCACAAAAGAGGTAATTTGATCAACAAGGATTGTATTTATTTTGAGTCTTGTTATATCACTTATCTAGTCGCTAAGTGAACATAAATAATGCAGAGTCATGGGTGAACATTCAATATAAGCATATCTAAAGGGTCTAGCTTAAATGCAAAAGAACCTAAAGCAACAAAAGGAAATAACACAATAAGAGGTCTTAATTCAAAAGCAAAAGGATTGAGCACAATTGCAAAGGTAACTGTAAATTGGACTTGTATCAAATACTTATATTGTGTTTGACTCTACTATGTATGCAGTTGTATGAAATTAATAATTGGGTATAAATGGTTTTGATGTAGGAAACTGGTGCACATCACCACTCGGGGGCTGCTCCATCCCAAACTAGGCCACAAGGAACTATAACAAGAATCTGTCTTTTTTAATTAAAAAAAAAAGCATTTGTTATAGATTAATTTTTGTTGTTTTGGGTTTGCTAACATTTTTGTTGATTTCGTGTTGAATTGAAATAGATGAATCGAGGCGGTCGTGTGAATCAAGTCACAAGGAAGGCTAATAAAATGGAATCACAACCCCAACATGTTGCCGAAAAAGCAAGACCATGGAGAGTGTAACTTTGATGTGTTGGAGGACCTTTCATACTGTTAATGAAAACCTTTGGTGTTCAGGTTAAGTTGTTCTTTTAATGGGATTATGCTGCATAACTATAAAATTTATAGGTTTTATTGATTTTGGCACTAGGTGCAAGTTTGTTGCATATTTTTTGTGGATGCTATTAACTTTATTAAAGCACTCGAAGTGCAAAACTAATTGTAGTAAGAATCGTTAATTTCATTTTGGTAAACTGGGCGTAGAGCCAATATTTTGCAGTTGCTAATTAGACTTCTATGGGTAATTTAGATAAAATTGTACGGAGTGAAATAGCGGAAGAGAAGAGGAAAAAAAAAATAAAATGTCCACATTACGGATAAAATTACTTTTTAAACCTAAATAAATTGGCATGTGCTGTGCATGTGACCGAGTTGGATGGAAAATTGGAAGGAAAAATCTCAAATCTAACATTAGGGGGTAAATTGGCCAATTATAAAAGTTCATGGGGGGGTAATTGGCTAAAATTAAAGTTCAAGGAGAAAATTGACAGCTGCTTACAAGTTCAGGGAGGGGAATGACAAATACCCCTTATTGTTATTGGTTGGTCAGACTAGCCGGCTAGTGATGTAGTATTTAAAAAGCATATGAACAAGTGAGTATTAAAAAGTTGAAAATGAGGAATGTTTAAACCTAGAACGTAATATGTTGAATAAAAAGACCCTAATCACTAGAACAATTCATCATTTTTTTTTTTTTGTATACATACAATATAATCTACATGAGCAAACAATAATAATTTGGCTTTGAACGAAGGTTGGAACTCTTAAACTGGTCTCTGCAGAATATAGGTGCCAGTTAGAGACGATCCACTATAATCAAACATGCACAAACGAGACTGACGTAAAGCCAACTTAATTACTAGAGCCAAACACTAGAAGGTAGTTTCATGAATACAATAGAAGGCTTGCTCTCAGCTCATCGTTTGTTTCCGGTGACACAACTCTAAACGCAATCGTCAATTGAATTGGAGCTTGAACCATTACCACAATCTAATTTTTTTTCCCAGATGCTGCTGTAAATTTCAGTTTAGGAGTGCACTTTTAGAAGTTTTTTGATCGGTTAAGGAGCAAATACGATCCAAGGCCTCCAAAGTGCATGCGCAAGAACCAGTATTTGAAAATCTCGGAATTTGCTTGCTGATCTGCAAGTGATACCAATCAACCTTCGGACTGTAAAACAAAGAAGAATGCTTCATGTGATCAATTGCGAAAGTTCATACACTAACAGTCCTATACTTTTTTATTGGAAGCACTTTTAGCAGGAGTGCGTTGAAATTTTCAATAAAATGCAAGTATTACTTGAAAAAGTAGCGCTATTTTTAATCTATTCTATCAGACGTAGCCATATGCGTACTAAAAGTTTTTTTTTATATTTTATTTTATTATAAAAGCACTTTTAAACAATTTCTTTTATTTCATTCCATGAGTGATTCCAAATGGGAAGAGATCTTCTCCGGATCTCTTCTTCCAAGACTCAAGGATCAAGTGATCCAAATTTTTAAACTTTGATTCAATGGCTAAAAATTATTATAGATTTTAAAATTTTTTACTAACTTTTCTATTTTTAGTTTTTGAATCAAATTTTAAAGGTCCGAATCACTTTATCCTTATGCTTTGAAATGAGAGATCCGGAGAAAATCTCTTTCACATCCAAATAAATTCTACTGTCAAGTTGCCTAATGTGTCCCCTTTATGCATCGATGTTGAGTGCATCCAAAGCAGTGGTAATTCTGGTGGGACTAAGATTCTCTTTCCTACTTTTTTTTCATTCTCTTTCATCTTTTCTTCTTATATTCTTTATTTTGTCTTTTTTTATTTTATAAAAAATTAATATAAGATGTTAACATAATTTAACCATAACCAACCGTTCAAATAAAAGAGAAGAGAAAAGAAGGGAATAGAAGGGAAAAAGAGAAAGAATAGAATCCTACTCCATTCTGATGAATCACTTGAGTTGGATATGACTGTACATTGTCAGCACCTTAATTGCTCAAGCTACTAATATTACTCCTTGGGGTAATTCAAACATATGTAGCATCGCACCACCTGCTATTATTGTGGGAGACTTATGGTGGGAACCGAAAGTCCCTTGACAGTGACATTCTTATTTACCGCTTCTAATTTGAGCAGTACAACATAGTGATATGCCATATTTTATTATATAAAAGGAAAACAAATTTACTTTAAATATTATTCTATTTATATAATAATATATAATATATGTGCCTATGTTACAAATACATTGAAAATTCTCTCCACTTTGAGGTTAAAATTCCAATTTAGACTCGGTAAATTTTATTTTACAAATTACCCTGTGTTATAAAATACAAAATGATACAAAAGTTACGGCATTGCAAGTCTCAATTAATTTTCCTGCCGAGTAGTACATTGTACGCACTTCACTCCACCAGAGTAACTACAAGAAGGCTTTCGCTCTCTACACACTTCACTATTTGCTCATGGCTTCTGCTCCCAGATCAAGCTCTTGGTTTTCCAGTCTCTCGGAGAATTGGCTCCCGATGGCTACTATAATACTCGTTTGCGGGTTTGTTGGTTACGCTGTTTACGACGCTGTGATGGCCACAGTGTCCGAGCTGCTGCAACGTTTGCTGGTAATTTCCCCTTTGCTTATAGTCATTGTAGTTCATTGGCTCTCCACAGGCAGCCAAGTTAGCATCAGCATTCCGGGGTCGGAGCCCGAAGCCATCCACAGAGCCGGAGGATCGCCTTGGGGCGTGGCCTTTCTACTATTTCTGCTCTTCTTTCTCATATCTTACCAGCCTTCCTTGCATGGCCTTCTTTTCTAGTTTAATTTATGCCTCTCTTTTCAAAGGGTAAGTATGAATATGTAATGTCCGCTTCTCCTTTGTATGATTTGAGTATCTTTTGTGATTGTCCTTTCTCTATGGAAAATTATTGTGTGGAGAGATAATAGAAGTAATTTGTATTTAATTCTAATTAAGTATTTGCTGCTACTTCTCAACTTTGGTAATTTCTCAAGATTCCTCAAGACCACTCGAGCAGTACTTGAACTCTCTCGAGTGGTTAAAATATTTTAAATTCGGAAGAAAAAAAAGTACTAAAAGTAACAAACTTAAAACAAATTTTGATACTCTCATGGGAGAGAATTCTTCTTTCTTAGTTCCAACTTCGAATTTGATACTTTCTCTAATGTTTCAAAATTCTGTATCACAATATTTCTGTGTGGTAGCTGTTAGATCTTAGAACCCGTTATCACGAAAAAATTCAGACTAATTTATGTTTAATTATCGAGTAATGCTACGTAGGTATGTCAATTTTTTTATACTATATTTGTAAATCATGAGATGTGTTAATTAAATATGTTAATCAACACAAATAATAATTCAATCATCAACAACCACGTCGTATAATTTATCAAATATATTAAATAAATAGTCTCCCAAGCAATATCATTAATTATCTGCCATTTTTGGTTCCTTCTGCCACATTGTTTCTTTATTGATATCTTCTGCCCAAGAAAGGAGCAGTCGGAAAACAATTGACATATTGCTAACTTTATTCTGGTTTGATTAATGGGGATATGAAATTTGGCAGAAGCCAATCTGAAAAAGTGTTATTGTTTACTTGAGTGTACTATGAGCATTCCAATGGGAGAGCCGGTGCAACTTGGGAATGGACCACTTTCTAATTAGAAATCTAAACCGTTAATTATCGACCAATTAGTTTCAGTAAGCCAAATTTAGACCTGATCCCCCCCCCCTCTTTCAAAAAAAAAAAAAGAAATAGAGGCTTTATACAAAGGATATGGACCAACCCCTTATGGTTCTAAGTGATCCTCTGCATATGTAATCAAAGATTTGAACATCTTATTCTTTAAAACAATATAGACTTGAGTCAGTTTTAAAATATAGTTACTCCGGGTCTGATGAGAAGAACTTCAATACACTTGGTATGTGAGGGTAATATCAGTGACTAATCACACGTTGTCATGCGGAAGTGATTGGATTAAGATACAGTAACCATAGAATTGAAATTATAGGTAGGTTTGTCTCACTCGAGCCCCTTGAGCATTGTTCGACTTCGAGCCCTCTAGAGACCCCTCAAGCAATGGTGGAACCTGCGGTTGAAGGTTCGAGCTCCTCATAAAACTCAAGTATGTTTTGGTTAATTGCTATCCTTCTCATATTATTTAAGTCACTGTTGGGAAAAGGTAAATCTTATGGCCATTTATATTTGACATTTCGAATATTGGGTTAGAGAGCATATATATGCTCTGGTGTGCTCCGCCTGCTGTAGTTTTGTGTGAAGTTTGGTTACAATCATTGTTGACGTTTTGTGAGTCGGACCTGGCCGTCCGTACGGACCCCGTGGGCGGTAGGGCTCCACTGCTTCGTGTCAAGAGTCACGTGATACTGACGCCTCTGACACGTGATCTAGGGCCCTCGTCCATCTCGCTGACTGTGTTATATTCTCATTTATATTGGGAAGTGCTTAGTAGCTCATAAATTAAATTTCTTATTCAGTGTTTCATTCAAGAAAAGAGATAAAACCTTTTTTTTTATTTTTCCGACAATTTTTTCAAATCCTCTTGCCTCTGAAGTATGGATTCCAGAGTGAGTTATTGCTGGTAAAAGTATGGTACTGTTTTCCACATGAGTCCCATTTGAACTTTGAACGGACTATTTATGAAAAACTAATGAAAATAACTTGAAAATTTTGAGTTTTAACGATAAGAATAAAATAAAGGGTAAAATAAATAGTACCAGGATTGACTTTTTAGTTTAAAAATGTGGTTTTTTATTAAATTGAACCGTACCAGAAGTTTTTCGTTAAAGTTCCCTCAATATAATTATAATTATTTTTAGAGTTATGCGTGATTACTTATTGCGGACGAATTTTAAGTTCATATTCACACGGGACGTCCTGCGTTCAATTTATTCCGCTGA